GAAAGTGACTTTCCCTACTCTAATTACTGAATAATTAGTTCTGAATAATCGGCTCATGGCCACAAATGTTAGCAATTCTCCCACATGAAAGCCTCCTTGGACACACAGCACCACTACACACAGGCTTGCTGTTATATGTGGAATAAAACACTACAATTAGAGATACATCCACTTTGACCATTGTGCAGTTTGATTTTTACCTTTTCGGATCGAAAGCTTCTCCACCTCTGGAACCTCCCCCAGGTGTTCTCCATGCCAGGCGTTCAATGTATTCATCTGCCACAAAAGGCTCCTGGCCACAGAAGAAAAACCCTTTACAATGTGCCACAGCAGGTTGTTCCTTCAGCAGGCGCTCACACCTCATTTTGAAAGCGTTCAGAAGCTTTATTATAATCAAAAGTACAGCATTGACAATTACTCCATCACCTCTTGGGCTTACATATTTATTGTTGAGAACACTGCCTTTCATATGGTGAGTTGGAACATCAAGTTTAGATATTATCAGACTGCTTGCAAAGAATGTGCTGCAGGTCTGTGAGGAGCTGGCTCTAAATGACTTTATTTGCAGCTGAGCTCGTGGTTTGTCATTCCAAAGTGCCTGAACCCTGCAGCTGATTTGGGAGGTTACACCACCCGAGCCAGCCATCAGCTGCACAGCAAAACACACCAGAGAATTCATCTGCCTACAAAAATTACGTGGCAAAATAAGGGGTTTTTGCAGCTGTTCAGCTCTCTGTCACACCATGCCATCACACACAGAACTGACCAAAAAACCCAGCTGCCACTGCACACAACCCAACATCAAACTGCAACTGCACAAACAGAGCAGATAAAAATGAGGAAAAAAGGCATAAAAACAGAGGATGAATTCCATTTACACAAGTAGAAAAAACAGGGCATGAGTGATACTAAAACTCAAGGTTACACAAGTTTCTTCCATAATATTTGCTGGTTCTTCCATAAAAACACCGTCTGTTAAGATTATTTCTCCACCCAACAACAATTTCTGAAGGCAGAGGCCTCATTTATAAACCCAAGAACTCCTATTTTAGCTGGCCTAATACTTACACCAGCTCAAACACTTTATTATGTAGCTTATACTAAATTACTCTAAACACAGTCCAATTTCTATCATTAATAAAAACAATATTTATCACTTCAGCAGCAGTGATTAGGTGCTAACATCAGCACTTCTAAGACCAGTAAGAAAAGTATCCTCACAACCACCAGGATTTTAGAGAAAGCTTTTGAATTATAAGCAACAACAGTTCTCTAAGTGTGAAACAACCCAAACCACAGCAGGGACTGGCTCTGGCTAGTAGGGCTATTTGATACAATTGAATATGCTACCATTGTTTTTGATAAAACTGGGTTGAAAAAAAAATTAAAATAAAAAATAAAGAGATCTCAACAGGTATTACATTAGTTACTGTATCAATATGTCTGAAACTTTGTCATGAGAAATAAGGAGGGAAAAAACAGTATTACAGAGTTAGTTTCATAAGTAAAACCAAGGGTTGAAAAGCAAATATTGCCAGTTCAAGGTCTGTTTCCTCAGAAACAAATTATGCCCTATCCAGTCAGGCCTAGCCACTAACCAGGAGGATAAAAGGTTTTTAAATATACTTTGTTACACGCTGAATCCTGATAGACAGAGCAGAAATTTTATCACTCAGTAACTCCTCATCCACAGACTGACTCAAGTAACTGTGTTGTGCTCAGCCTCCTTGGCTAAACTTCAAAAATAACTGGCTGATACCACATAAAAACAATTTCCCTACAAGTCACTCATCTCTTTAACCAAGTCCTTCCTGATACAGAGCGTGAAGTTTCCTTTACAAGAATCCTTTTCATCAAAAGCCACAATGCCACATTTTCATGCCAAGTGTAAATTCCCTCCTTATGCCATCTTGCTAAATGAAAGTCTGGGAACACTTTTGTAATTTAATCATAGATTAAATGAGTCATTCAATGCAGTACCATTCTCTTCAGGGGAGGCCTCCAGCTTCCCAATTACCTTAGAGCTCTTTGAAGGACTCCACCTTTATATGAAAATCCACAATTTTTCCTCTGAAGATCCTGTAATTCAGCTGCAGCACCACTCTGGTTACAAGGATACTAAAGCCAAGTATGAAAGAATCCTGAATAAAGGGTTTTCTGACATCCTCTGTGTGTAGATAACATTTTCTACATTTCTCCCTTCCCCAGATGCTCACTAAAAGATAATTCACCTACACACATACAATGGCTTCAAATATTTTTTCATTTTTGTAAAACAACATTTACAAAGTTTTTCTGCAAGCCTCTTCTCCTAAAGAAATCTGATGTAGATGCCTCAGAGCCCCCAAAAATATTAGAAGGCAAACCTTTCTCTACCCATCATGCCTTCATACACCTCTAAATATTCCTTGAGTGCACGTGTGTACAGACAGCTCCCTTCCTGGAAAATACCTGTTTTTCCAAGAACATTTACACAGGAGATCTGTCCTTCAGTTAACTACCATGGATATTACTGCAAGATATTGATCAACAGAGAAATAAAATGAGCCTTTTCTTCCAATTTTCCACAGAGGGTGTGCTAAAAATAATCTATTTGATTTATAAGGAATAAATGAGGTTCAACAGTATCTTTCTAAGACATGATTTCCCAGGTTCCACTGCAGATCCAAAAGTTTTTACTTTAGTTTGTATCTTCCATACACATTTGCTTTTTTAAATGCTATCTTGATAGCAGGGTTACTCATAGCTGACAGCCTAATTCCTATTTTAAGTCTCCTATCCTGTTCTGCAGAAATTGCTGAAAATCAGCTATTACAAATGTCATTTGCAAGTCCTTTGCCTGTTATCAGATGAGCCCCAACAGCCAATTTCTTCAGCTTTGAACTTCCCTCTGGCTCCAGATGAATTAATGTGATCCCATCCATTCAGGCAATACTCCTGATTTAATATGAGATATGCCTGAAGTGGGTGATAACCTGGTTTGATCTGGGGTTTACAAATGAAACTACACTGGACCCAGCCAAATTAAAAACCAGTTTAGAAGTATCCACTGTTAAATAATGCTTTAACTTATGTGAGGGTGAATTCAGTCCTTGTTGTGTCCATTTTCAGGACAGATCCTGCTATACAATTTCCCATATCTGTACTGAAATTTACTTTAGAACACACACTCATGAAAATATGGTAATCAAATTCCACCCTCAGCAGACAGCTAAGGGCTACTCCCATAACAAGCACATTTTTAAGTTAAGGCAGCAAATTCAGACTAACCAAGTAGGCAACAGTAAATTAGTGGACAACAAAAACTCTCTTGCCTTAGGAGTGAAAGAGAAGTGAAAGCAGGAGAGAGAGAAATCTGGATTCCATGTTGGAAAATATAATTTCTAGCCCCAATGTCCAGGCAAAAGTCTCACCTAATTTGCAATTTCGTCTTTATTGCTATTGTGAAATGGAAGAAGTTATTGCACGACCCAAAGCAGCCAAAACATACAGTTTTCTTTCCATATTCAAGTTACCTCACACTCAACGCCCCACAATGAGCAGAAGGGCACTGTCATCATGTTGAGAAATCAAGGGGCTCCTAGAGTGGTGTAGGGAGGGTACAAAACCTGGCATGCAGCTACAGGAACACAGTATTTTAGTCCTGCTATTTTTTTAAAGCTATGCAAACCAAAAGATGTGAGTCATAACGTTCGTGTGCCATCACAGTGATTCACAAATTCAAATGCACACAATGCATTTACATAAACCCCAAATATAGGATCTTCCAGAGAAACAGGAAGAGCCTTTCCTGAAGGTTGGGCAAAGTGAGTCCCAGTCATAACCCACCAGAAGAACAACCAGCTCTTGAGCGACTTGGAGACCAAATACAGGACACCTGGGGACGGCACCATGTGCCTGTGGAGAGGAAGTGGGGACACCACATACTTTTTGTTTATCAAGGGTCACATCATGAGAGCTCATGGTCCAGGCCACAAGCTGGAGCCACAGAATTACAGACAGGTTTGGGCTGGAAGAGACCTCAAAGATCAACTCGTTCCAACCCCCTGCCATGGGCAGGGACACCTTCCCCTATCCCAGGTTGTTCCAAGCCCCATCCAACCTGGCCTTGGACACTGCCAGGGATCCAGGGGCAGCCACAGCTTCTCTGTGCCAGGGCCTTACCACCCTCAAAGTTGAGATAGTGACATTATTCTTCCCAATATCTAACCTAAACCTACTCTTAGTTTGAAGCCATTTCCTCTGTCCTGTCACTAAACAGTCCTGTAGGAAGTCCCCCCTCCATCCTTCTTGTGGGCTCCCTTCAGGAGGGAAACGATCCTCATGCGTCTCTTCCAACTTAGGGCATTCTGCAATTCCACGGGAAGAATCTGACAGGCTCCTGCTATTCCTGCCCTGCTCCTGCGTGGCCTTGGCAGAGCCATTCTCTTTCCGTGCCTCACTTCCACCGCGGGTAAAGGGAGGGCAAAGTCATTTCCTTATTCCATTCCAGCCCCACTGACAGCACCGCGCCGGGCTCAGCCAAGGGGGTGCCCTCGGAAGAAGGAGTGCGGGGCCGGGCCTGGCGTGGCCCTGTCACCCGTCCGCTGCCAGCAGCCGGCCGGGAGGGAGGCCCTGCAGCGGGGCAAGGCGAGCACCGCACCCGCGGGGCGGCACCGGGGCTCCCCCGCTTCCCCAGCCCCACACACCGCCCGCCCGCCCTTCCCCAGGGAGAGGCCGCCGCATCCCCTCAGCGAGCCGGCCCGGCAGCGCCGCCCGCGCCCCGGCCCGCGGGGCCCGCACCCACCTCGAAGAGCTCGGCGGTGGTGGCCATGGCCACAGGGAGGGAGGGAGGGAAGGAAGGTGGCGGCCCCTCAGCGCCCCTTCGCCGCCGCCGCCCCGCCGCTGCCGCCCATTGTGTCCCCCGCCCCGGCAGCAGCAGCGGCGGCCGCGGCGCCGCCTCCGCCCGCCGGAAATGGGGCTGCGCCGGGCGGTCACGGCGCGGCCGCGGCTCCTCCCCGGCCGCCATCGGCACCGGCGGCATCACCGCCACCATCGGCACCGCCGCCACCATCGGCTCCACCGCCACCATCGGCATGGCCTTGCGGGCGCTGTGGCTCCTCAGGCACGACCCCGCGGCCGGCGGCGCCGTGCTCTTCTCCAGGTAGCCACGGTACCGGGGAGGGGGCGCGGGCACGGCGGGCTGGGCAGGTCCGAGGGTCGGGCTGGGTGCCCTGGGGGATACGGGTGATCTGGAAGGGATCCAGGTGCTCTGAGGGATTCTGGGGGGACCGGGTGTTCTTGGGGGAATTGGATGCTCTTGGGGTCCGGGTGCTGTGGAGGGAACCGGGCGCCATGGGGGGAGCGGATGCCCTCAGGGGCCGCGGATGTTCCTGAGGGGGTCTGCATGCCCTGGAGGAAATCCTGGTGCCATGAGGGGCTGGGTGTCCTGGGGGACACTGCTGCCCTGTGGGGCCGGGGTTCGGCCCCCAGAACAGATGTAAAAACACCAAAACCATCTGACTGTGAATAAATCCCTCATCTCGTCCCAGCGCCGCTGGATGCTGTGCGTTTCTGACCCCGATTTCCGAAAGTTCAGAATCAGGTTCACGAAATGTGTTTTTAACTAAATATGGGGGCTTTTTCACAGCTTCTGCATTTTGCAATTGAGTTTCCTAGCTCTGTTCCTCTTTCTTGTGTGTCACTGTAAACATTTTGCCCAGCTCTTCTCCATCCTAACAGGGAAAAGGACAGGGCAGTGATTGTGCAATACTGTCAGATTAACAAAATGGACAGAGTAGAAAGCATATATTATTTCTTGTATTTTACTTATATTCTTTTCATGTTGTTCTGTAGCTGTACAAAACTTAGTGTACTTTCAGACAGAAATTCAGCTTTCTATTTCATGCTAATTTTTGCATATAAATACCCTTTTCTAAAGTTATTGCAGGACTTTTAAGTTATTGGACACTTAAGAGTCCTCCAAAGGGAGAGTTTTTATTCAGAATTCTTGCAGGTATAAAGTAAGACTTTGGGATAGGCAGGTTACTTTTGTTGAGCTGGCAAGATTTGTTACCTATAGTTTTTTTTTTTTTCTTCTGTGGCTTCAGAGAAATCCTGACAATGAGAAGAAAAGTAAAAGTGGCATACAGCCCTAGTCTGAATTCAGTAAAACCAAAAGAGAACCAAGTAGTAAAAGAAAAAAACCAACCAAAAAAAGAGTAAGTAGACTATCTTCCATCTTCAGGTGCAGACAGATCTCTCCATTGGACACTCCTCTGATTGTTTTAGGATTAGTATTATGGTCCTTGTATTACCTACAGGACTAGAGATGAGGCCTCCCCTCTACAAACACAGATAAAGAGAAAGCCTTGTCCCAAAACCTCGGAGAGTGTAATCACCACGGAGCAGGGGGGGCTGGTGACAGGGATGTCTGAAGTGACTTGTCACACAGTGAGCGGCAGAGACAAGGAGTAGCACTCCTTTGAAAAGGGCAAACTATCCTTGATGCTTCAAGTGATTTCCAGACTTAGATCTTTCAAGTTCCCAGAGGAAATAATAGGGCTGTGGAAGCCCCGAGTTTATCCTCCTAACTGACCTTAAATTCAACAAAGCGCGCAGACAATATAAAGAATGCCCGGATCACATGGAAACTGTTGGTTTCAGGACTTAGGCACTCAGCTGGAGATACGTGAGCCCTGATCTTTAACCTCAGGAAAGACATCGGGGACATCAAAGCATTCCCCCCCACCTTTCTTTTTTTAGCTAATCATAACTTAATTCAGGCAACAAGGATGGTCTATCTCTTGAGTCACCAAAGCTCATTCATCCCTGAAAACTTTCATCTTGTTTTTTTTTTTTAACTTTGCATCACTTTCTAGAAGGGAATACTGAAAAACTGGGCTCTGAAGGGCTGACTAATGATCTAATGACCCAGCTGGTAAAATTCAGTGGGAGGAGGAGGAGGCTGCTGTGGTGTGGGGACAGCTTCAGCAAATGGAGCAGAGAGACTGGGACTTGACTAAGATAAAACCAGACTGAAATATCTCCTCTTCCCTTGTTTTGGAAATGTTGGCCAAAAATAAGAGCTATTCACCAAGGTTACACATGCCTCTTATCAACACCCTGGCTCTGCAAAGCCTCATAAATTTTAGAGCTGTAAACCTACTTTGTTTCTTTGCTCTTCAGAATAAAATGTGAGACCACAGGGGGAGGTGTTTTGCTGTCATCTGTATCCTGTTTACAAATTTTGTAGCCTGGCTTTGCTCTATGTTTGCTTTTCCCTTACCAAAAAAAACCCAACCCCAAAAGCCCTGGATGCCTGATTAAGAATCAAAGGAAAAAAAGCACAGTTACTGAAAATAAGCCTGAGGAAGTGTAGCTGTCTCCAGCTACTCAGTTAAGAAAAGATGATGTAGGTGGGACTTAGAGGCAACAGGATAAGATCCATGGAAGTGGATCAGGAGCAGGAGGCAAGTGCTACAGATGGAGGTCATAGATATAACAAAGTCTCACCTTTCTGGGATGGTAATTTAAGAAGCAAGCTGTCAATGTGTCCTTAAAAAGATGGTGTAAAAAGGACACCAAATGAGGGCATTTATATATCTCTGCATCTTTTTTTCTCCCATGTTGGCGTGCAAGCATGGATCTGAGTGCAAAACAAACATCTGAGAACATCTGCTTCAAGATGATCCATAAAGTGATTTAATTTTGCGTGTGTGACCTGCAATGGGCACTTTGAGGGTCTGTGGATAACTACTAAGGTAATCCACAAAAGAGAATGTAGGAAGGGCAGGCTGTCAGCAAACTTCATGTAAGAGACACTCAGGGGAATCTGCAGTTCCAAAGCAGGGCAAAATCAGTGCATTAATGGAAGTAATATTTTTTTATTTTCTCAGCTATATATTAAATGACAATTCCTCCTGATGGATTTAGGTTACCTTGAAATTTGTCCCACTTCCCTTTAAAAAAACAATACTGCTGCAGGACAAAAAATCCCAGATTTAGTTTTAAACAGTTAATATGATATTCCTCAAATATTATCTCTAGAAAATTTGGAATTAATTATATATATTGGTACAACATAGCAATTCTAAATTGTACAAAACCTCTGTCCATTACATTACCATTACATCTTAAATACTTGATAAAATGAAATGATGAAAAAGTCATAAAAGCTTTAAGTCACATACATTGCATGTGCAGTGTGGAATTATTATTATTATTGGAATTATTGTTGTTGTTGTTCTGTTGTTGTTATTGTTATTATTATTATTATTGTTATTGTAGTTATAGCAGCAAAGCTGTAGCACTAGTATGCTCTATCCAGGCAAAAAGCTGTTGTAGTTGCATTTTATTACATAGAACATACATTTTTGTAAATATCTGGGAACCTGTCTTCAGTGTAATCTCACATCTCAGAAATATTTGGAAGTTCTGCACTGGTGGGAGTCATTCCTTAGTGTGGTACAAACATCCTGTACCTTTGTGACAGCCAGCATAGATGGACAGATTCACATTTTGTTATAAAAATATGTATTTACTCATGAGAATGTATTTACTCAAATTTTAGATTCGCTAGAAAGAATCCTAACTGCTCATGAAATGGTTTTTTTGGCAGTGTTTTATGTTCTGATCCCACCACTGCTTCTGTCAAGGCTTCCATGTACACAAGGTTATTTTTAGGCCCAGTGGGCTTTGGGGAGCTGTTTGAATAATGAAGAGAAACTCAATATCAATAATCCAAAGATTTTCATAATGCTTTTGCAGCCAGGAGAGGGCTCGGGTGGTTCTGTCCCTGGAAGCTCTGTTTTGGGATGATATTTCGGGTGGCACTGAGCCGCTCCCGTTCCCTCCCCGCAGGCGCTACCCAACAGTTGAGCTGCGCGCCGAGACCTTCAACGGCTCCACGTACGTCCCTGTCCCCTCGGACAGCGCCTTCCTCAAGGCCCTGCTCTTCGAGCTGAGGCTGGTGGACGAGCACGTTTTCGTGGAGCAGCGGGACACCTGCACCCGGATCAACCATTCCTGCGTGCATTCCGTGTCCACCGCCGCAGGGGAGCTCTGGCCCGTGCTGGCCTTCCACAAGAGCGGCCTCATCTATGCCTGTGTCCCGCTGGTGGAGGGGACCCTGGAGCCACGGCCACCCCTCCTCACCGTCAGCGGGCTCTCGCAGGGACTGGCTCTGTTGTTGGGCATCGTGGACTACGTCTCTCCCAGCCGGAAAAACGAGGCTGAGCTGAATGCAAAGATCGGGCATCTCCGAAATCTGCTGGTCCAGGCCTGTCCCCTGGGCACCCCCCTGAACACCAACATCCGCAGCCTGAACAGCTCCTTCGAGGACATCCAGGAGATGCCTGCAGATAAGGATCAGCCAGCCTGGAGATCCAGCACCTACAAGGGCAAACCTCAGGTTAATGTCTGCATCACTGAGAAGGTCAAGTGTATGCAGTATGACCAGAGGGATGTGGTGGACACGTGGCAAGTTTATGGAGCTGTGAACTGCAAGGTGAGAGCGTTTGATGTGCAAAGTAGTTTCTGTGCAAAATCAGTGCTTATTCGATGTAAAATGATATACTGAGCTGAAAATTCTCCTGATTTTGTCTTCTGAGTCACGTTCAGGTGTTACTGGTACCTTTGACTGCTTGGCCACACGGCTCTTACTCTAAATGAACCACTGAAATGCCTGAATTTGACAAAATATATCCAGGCTGGCATGTCTAAATGTCTTCTACAAGTGTCTACATGAGCATTTTTAATTATCTTTCCTGACAAATGAAAGTTTAATCTTCTTCCTTATGGTTCTACAATGTTTTGATCCCACAAATTTTGGTGTTCCATAACGTAAGAGTAGTTGATAAAGAACCTGGTGAAAGAAACTGGATATATAATTTTTTTGGATGGTTTGGATGTGACAGTGGTTTTCACTGTAGAATCCCAGAGTGGTTTGGGTTGGAAGGGACCTCAAAGCTCATCTCATTCCAACCCCCTGCCATGGGAAGGGATACCTTCCACTAGACCAGGTTGCTCCAAACCTTGTCCAGCCAGGCCTTGAACACTTCCAGGGATGGGCTTCCCTGGGCATTGTTTAATATTAAAATATCTCATTGTTTAATATTGCAAACTGGGGACTATTGACCAAATACATCCATAATAATTATGAAATATATTAAAATTTGTAACAGTAATTTGTACTATAATTTATTCTTTGTTCTGAATTATGCTTAGGAAGCACACAATATTATCTTGGCACACTGCATTTGTAACTACTGCCAGTGTTTTACAAGGATAGAGACCTGCTAATAAAGTGGTAATTTAATTATTTGCGTGAAGTGGGATACTCATGTCCAAAGGAGGCTGACCTAAATGCTGCATTTGCAAAGCCTGGGTCATTTCCCACCTGCCATGCTGGTAGGGACTGTGTGGGTGAGCAGCTTCCTGCTCTCAGAGGGACAATTCCCAGGGTGTTCTGTAGGGTAGGTGAGTGGCTTTACACAAGAAGAAAGCCCAGGTGAGATCATGGCCTGCTGAACTGGCACAGGGAGGGTCAAAACAACGGACACTCTGCTGTGACAGAGCTGGCATGGGACCACAGAAGCCATCCAGAGCATGCTGGAATCCATTAAGTGGATGTTGTAAAAGCAACCTAATTAATTAAATTGTCAGCAAGTGTGTGAGTCTTGATGTCTTAGTACTGGTGGTTAGTACTAATGATTGAAGCCAACTGAAAATTGGTAGTGATTTTATTTATTTTTATTGCTATAAGTGTGTTTTATTTTTTAACATCTCACTGTGAATTGGTTCAGGTATTTTAGGATAATGTCTTGACTTCCTTTTCCCAAGTGTGACATAGAGGGATCTGCACCAAACGTCACCCTCAGCCTGACCCTCCCCACGAACGCGCCCCCGCTCCAAGACATCGTGGTCCATCACTGTGTGACTTCTGTGGACCCTGCCATGCTGATGTCCACCAGTGTCGAGCCTCTGCATGATTCTGTCTACAATGGGCCTTACAAATTCCCTTTCATTCCTCCTTCAGATTCCTTCAACCTCTGTTACTACACTTCCCAGGTAACAACACCCCTGACCCTTGCTGGTTTTGAGTGTTCAAACAGAAATAAAAACACCTGTGTTGCTGGGCATGCTGGAGTGAGTTTGAGCCCAATATAGATAATAAAATATTTTATATAATGGTTTTTATATAATAAACTGCTTGGAAGGCACTTAAGGACTTGAGTTGTCTGAGTCACATTCAGAAATTACTGTATCTTTGTTTGGCAACACTGCTCTTAATTTAAGTCATCCCCTCAAGTGCTTGAATTAGACAAAATATATCCAGGCTGAGATGTCAAGTGCATGACCCCAATGGCCCCCATGGCCAGTCTCTGCATCACAAGAAGCCTGGAAAGTTTAGCACAGTCACTAAGTAATTAATATATGTCTGTGGTCCATTTTAAAGTGCTTTAACAATGAAAACAGTATATAACTGATCTTGTGATGATGGTGTTAATATAGCTTGAGAATGAATATAGTTTTTTCCAGGTTCCTGTTCCACCAATTTTGGGATGTTACCAACTCGTTGAAGAGGGATCACAGATAAAAATAACAGTTAATTTAAAGCTCCATGAAAGCATAAAGAACTCTTTTGAGCACTGTGAAGCTCATATACCTTTCTTCAACAGGTAAGACTAAAGAAAGCCTAAATAAATTTCTTCCATTTCTCTGTTGTCTTCCCAAAATGAACTTGTCAGGAATCATTATAACAAATTATGCTCCATCAGGGTGCTACCAGTTAACACCAACATTGGAATTCCTTTAATTTCCAGAATATAGAATTATGCTAGAATATTTGGTAACATTCCAAACACTTACGTTGCTCATCCTGTTTCCCTGTGGTATTTTCTCATGTGAAATACTGCCACAATCCCCCAGGTGGATTAAGCTGGAGATCCCTTCCAACCCAGGGTTACCTGTTCCTTAAGACTGCTAATCCTAGCTACAGATCAGCTTATCAAAAATACAGTTATTTCAAATTAAAACAATAGTTTTCATCTAAGCCTCTCTGACATCTGCCATGACAATGCTGCCACAACCATGCTGCCATCTAATTATCATGAAAATTCAAAGATGGAATGATACAAAGTTACTGATGCTGATCACAGTGTTAGTAAAACACTATCAGTGAACTAAAACATCAACAGCTCCTTTGTGATTACCTGGCTGACAGCATGGTAATTTCCTCCTGCTCTGTAATTTCTTCTCATAAATTAGCAGTGTGCTCAGATAGGTGTGATTTGTCTGTATGTGCACAAATAATGTCTGTGTGCATTTCCTGGCTTTCTGTAACAAAACAGGCGTTAACAAGTGCTGAATGATAGTAATTCCAGTGGTTTTATTTCTTCTCTCTCATACGCAGGGGTCCCATTGCTCAGTTAGAGTCCAAAGTTAGTTATGGCCAACTGGATTTATCCCGGGAGAAGAGCCTTCTGGTTTGGGTCATTGGTAAGGACCTCACCCCTGTGACTGCCCCTTTCTCCCCCAGCCCCTTCTCTGCAGCCTGGGCACAGCTGTGTGACTTCTTACAGATGCTGTCTCTGCCTTTAGGACAGAAGTTCCCCAAGTCTTTGGAAGTTTCCCTGACTGGAACTGTGTCTTTTGGCGCCGCAGGCAAAGAGCACCCGATTGATTATGTGTGCACTGGGAACACTGCTTATGTAAAAGTAAGTCACAGGCTCTGGGAAAAGAGGCCTTAGTAGTCACTTTTTTATTGTCTTCAATTGGAGATACATTGATCTAAAATCTCATATTCTCACCATGGACTTTTGCTTTCCTGCCTAGAGGATTTGACATCCTGTCACTTTGGAGTACCCTTGTATAACTCTTTTTAATTCTTGTTTCTTTTTTCTCTTGATTCTGCTGTGCTTTTTCTGCACTTCTCTTCACTCTTGGATTTCTCAGCTTCTCTGAGCTGAGCTCTTTGGGGATATTCCTTCACGGGGAGTCCTGCTTATTTCAGTTCTCCAGGTCAGGACAAAAACTCTAAAGCTTGTTAGGATCTTGTTTCTTGTATTTATTAGGATGTTATCGTAAAACTTGGCAGGTCTCTCCAGACTTTCTGTACAAGTTCAGTTCACTGCAATCTGGCTCATTTTGTTCTAATGGTCCAAAATGGCCCTGAACTACACAGTTCTTTTATCTTTGTATTCATTCTTATCCAATTAACAATAGACACGTATATTATTTTTCTTAATGACTCAATGACCCATTCTCTGTGTACTGCACTGCAACATTTTCTGTCCAATCACCTATTACCCAAAACCTCTAGAAGAAGAACATGAAGAAGAAAGAAGGAAAAGAAACAACATTCTAAATCCTCCTTCTTGTCTTCTGCTTTCTAAACTAACTTTAAACTAACTTTTTCACCCATTGACTTAAGAAAACTTTCTGATCTACATGCTTACACTTTTAGCGTTTCTATCTAACTTTAACAGTTGCTAAATATAACAACTGTTACATTTACATGAACAAGTTGTTCATGTAACACCATGAAAACATGCTCATAAATTTCATGTTATATGAAATTCAGTGTTCTTCTGGATCTCAGAGCCAGGCATCAGAGACAAGTGCACAAGCTCTGTGTTTCAGACTCCAACACCCTTGTACACCTAGATTGCCAGGATTTGCACAGCAAGGGTGACAATATGTATCTGATTGTGTTTTCCCTCTCTTTTTTCAGCTGTATTTTAGGATCCCAGACTTTACACTTACTGGATGTTACGTAGACCAGCATTCTGTTCAGATCTTTGTTCCAGGGAAGCCCAAAATTACTGCATGTGAGTTGCTAAAATTGAATTGAAATTATGAAATTACCTAACTGAAGTTGGACTTTCGTTCTCTGCTTTTGAGTTGGGGGTTTTTTTGTGATGTTTAGAGCATCCCTGGAGTAGGGACTGGCCTCTCCCTTTGAGATGAGATCTCTTACCAAATCAGCCTCTCTCTGGGGCTCTCCCCTCTGCCCTGTGCTGGTTCGTATGCTCTCCATAATGGCAGAACTTTTTTTGGGTGACACAGGGAATGATCCTCTCTAATCTGGCCCCTTGTTTAGGACACTTTTGTCATAGACATTTTGGGTCTACACTGTTAATTTTGTGACAGGTTACACTCAGCCCTAAATTGTAACACAGAAAAAACAGCGTTTTCATGTTTTATATTGAGCATGCAATTTATATTCATTGAACAAATTCCAAGCCATCCACCTGCTTTTGACTTAACCTCTGTTTGAATTTTAAGCTCATGACTGATACATTAGTAAAGGTAATTGAAGCTGAGACTTTAAATGTCTCATTATCAGAAACGATTTTCAAATAATAGTAAGAGTCTTACAGTTTAAAGAGGCCATTATACCTTTTCTGTAAACTGGTAAGGATGGATTAGTAGTCACTTAACTTGGATGAAGGAATGTCTGATTGTAAGGCACCCTGTAATGCTTATTTTTCTTGCCTGTTTTTTCCCTTTAGCCCGGGAACTTATTTCTTCTGATTACTATATCTGGAATTCCAAAGCACCAGCACCTATGGTGTACAAACCCTTACTTGACTAATGCACTTAGTACATTAATGTACTAATAATTTTTATATTTAAACAAAGCACAGTGTTAATGAGATTTATGTAATGATACAGTAAAATAAATATTCTTCAGCACTTTTGCTTTCTATGTGTTCTTAAAAATTTCTGTTGATGGAAAACAAGAGGTCACTTGTCTTCAAAACATGAGTTGGGTTTAAATTGTTGAGTCCTGGCTGACAGCCTAGAGAGGACAATTTGAAATGTACTTGCTGTGGCTGGTTTTACTTTCTCTTCTAAATTTAACTGGTACAAAATATGTCCCTGGTGTTACAGGTACAGACATTGAGATCTCCAGTTACTCCCAGTTACTTCACTGGTTTCCCATTGCAGGATGGGAAAGGTTTTAGCATCCTATTTCTGTCCTGAAATCACAAGAATCTCACCCAACTCCAGATTCAGAGACCAGTTCAAAGCAGAAATTCTTTATTTGTGCAAGATGTATACAGAATACACACCAGTCAATAATTTACAAGGACTTCCAAGAGGACGAGTATGGCATGAGCAGCACTTCTGAAAGTGGAGGCAAGTTTAATTAAGAAATCTTTATTGCCTCTGCCAGTAGAAGTGGTGAGTTTCCTTGCAGACATGCCTGTGAACTGCTTGCTGTGAAAGCAGAGGTGTGAACTGTGTTTTTCAGCTCACAAGACCAGTTCTGAGGAGGCAAAATCAGCCAAGCTTGAGGAGATTCCAGAAACCATCAATGAGTTTTTCCAGGAAAAGTAGGCAGAAAAAGTTTCAATTTACAGATGCAAACCTCGGATTTTGAAATCTGCAGGAACACAGGAAATGGACTTTAGGAAAGTTATCAGGAAATGTGCAGATTCTGAAGGGCTGGTGAGGAGCTGCCAGAACTTGGAGAGCAGCACAAAAGCAGAGGATGCTGAGTCCTAACAGAGCTGCTCCTGCCCTGCCTTGTGCTCTGTGGGGTAAATCAGATTAGGGATTGTGCAAGGAGGGGAGTTTTAAGCTATAATCTGAAAAATACTTAAATTGATCATCAGAGTAATCTGATGGGTTGGTTAAATGTTCTAGAGGGTGGATTTGTTCCTGTGAAACGCAGTTGAGCTGAATCTGCTGTGCAAACTTAGCAAACAGAGCTATGCTCTGTGCCCAGTTTCACACAGGTGATGTGTCTGTTCTGTTCAGCAGCAAAAGGGGAGTTTGTGATTTTGCCCAGGACCCAGCCCCTCCCTGCTGGAGTTGTCCACGTGCCTGGACACCACGGTGCGAGTGGGAAGAGGAGCTCTCTCTGCTGGAAGGGTTTAGAGCGTGTTCCGGACACCAGGCCACGGTCTTTGGCTTCCACCTACCCATGAGAAAGGTGGGAGCTCTGCTCTGCACAGCAGCACTCTGCAGGAATGGATTTTTTTACTCAAATACCCTCCAGTAAATTCTGGGAAGCAATGGCACTACCTAAATTCATGGTATCTTAGGAGATCCTTTGCACTTAATAGAAGGGAATTCTTCTAAATCCTGATCCTTTGTTTCCTCTTGTCCATGTCTGACTCTTTCATGGTTTAGGGGAGTTGTGGTGCTCAGAAATGGAGGGCTCTGGCTTTGATAAGCTAAAAATGCCATTTATTTTACAGAAGCTGTGAATTGAAATGATGAACTGGGCGTATGAACTGTTATGCACACACCCAGTAGGGCAGATTTGGAGGGAGGGAGGGGGAGGTGACATTTCCATTCTAGCCCTGAGCAGTTTTTCACAACCTCACATCAGCCATCACCTGTTTTGATTTGTTATCAAGGTTTGCTCCATAGTTGCTGCAGTGCTCTGCTCAGGGACAGCTCTGCAGTGAGAAAAGTGGGGGAAGGAGCCCTGTCTGCCTTTTTAAGAGTGGCTGAGATCTCTCTGCAGATGTGAGTGTGCAGCACACCCTGTTCTTTGGAAAGCACCAGGAACAGGGAAGGCAGAAAAACACACCAGCACACAGCTTCAGCCAGCATTGTGCAACCCCTGTGGGACACCCAGTCTGGGGGAGAAGCCAGAGGGAGAGCTTCTCCTGGCCTTTGGAAGGGCCCATGCTCATGGATCCTTCATAAATATTAATAAGTTATTAAGTAGTAAACTCAGCTTAGTAGTAAACTCACTAAATTAGGGGACTCTGGGTAGATAACACTGGAAGAGTTCAAGGAGTGACAAATGACAAAATTTTCTGTGTTTCTCTGTTCCCTCTAGTTGGCCAGATAATTTCACTGTTTCTTTACATGCTCTGACCACTTGTCCTGTTTTCTGAAAGGAGAAAAGTCCTTCAAAACCTAAATCAGGAAGATCTAATGTAGAGCTCACATGAGCCTGAGGACTCCCAGGCAGAGCTGATACCTAAGAGAGGTTCTGGTGAGCTCTAAAGGTGATCAAGTTCAGTGGTGTTCCTTTAACTCTTTAATAAAATAAACAAGTTTTTAATCCAACAGTTTCTTTAAAAATGTGTTAAAGGGAAAAAAAACCAAAAATTGTCTTTTGGTGCAGAGTGCTGTTTCTTCTACCAGAGTGTTTGCTGCTTGAAGTGCTTCTATTTGTAATTTTGTCACAGGCATGGATTATATGAGATCTTTGTGAAGGTAACTTTGCACAAAGACTTTCCTAAAGAAGTGGCCAAAGAGTTCTCCAGACTTTGTATTGTGTTTCAGAGGGCCAGGAGAAAACAAAGATGCAAAGAATTGAAAACAATAAATGTAAGGACTTAAATAATGGGTTGCAAACCTGACATTTCCCCCCCACTCACAAAAAAAAAAACCAAAAACTGGGTATAAATATTAAGGTGTTAATATGGAACTCACTTCATTAGTGAAATTAATTTATTTCATTTCATTAAAATTTGGGAGTAGTATAAGAAACAGCAATTAAAATTAATTTAAAGCAAATACACACAATCAAAGCTTTTGAGGTGAGACTGAACATTGACAATGAGAATTGATGTAACAGACCTCTAAGAAATTAAAACAATGCAAAATCCATGTATAACCCACTAAACACAGCAAAAATGGCTGAGATTTCCCAATCCGGTGGTGTTAGGGAACCCTCATTAAACATGTTTCAGAGCCCAACTGTTTTGTTTAACACTTGTGGAAGGTGTGGAAGGAAATGTGGAATTTGCACCGAGGTTCCCAGAGGCTGAGAAGCTGCAATTCCTGTTCCTCTCACCACAGAAGGGAACGAGTCCCCTTAACACAGTTCCATGTTGTCAAGTCTGTCACTGAGCACTACTCAGCAATTTGATGGTTTTCCCATTTTCTGGAAGCCCTTTCCTCCCACCAAGGTATTTGGTGACAGCTCCGAGATGGTTTATACCAGTTCCTCAAGAACTTTGGGGTAAATCCTGTTCCTTCAGGTAATTTGGAAGCAGTCACTTTTTTCACATAATTCAGCCCTTGCCACCTCTGCATTTTTTTGCTGTTCTTACCAGGGTTAGCTGCTGTGGCCATTTGTAACCAGTAAACACTGAAACAACAAGGCATTAAACATTCCATGGTTGTCTCCTATTTATTCCTGCCGTCCTAGGAACTGGCCACACTTTGTGCTGTTTGTACAAGCCCTGCTGAGATTTAAGCCAGGAGAGAGTTTGTAAGTCCATGTTTGTCCCTCGCTACTTTTGCTGACTCCCTCACCACCACCTCCCTGTTCTCTCATCCTTAGGGGACAGACAAAATAAAAGATACTTCCAACACCTTTTACAGTGGGGAAAGCCAAGCCCACACAAAGCTGAATGCATTCTGAGACGGTGGGAAATCTGCAGCCCTCGATCCCGAAGGGGGCATTAAATGAGAATTTTGTGGATCCTAATTTGGGAAGTACAAGCTTCTCTGGGAGAGCTGCTGTAGCTCTGTATGGCTGTCAGTGGGAATCCCACAGGGGCACCTTGGGGTTGCTTCTAAATTTCAATCCCATGCCTCTATCCCCCTCTTGTTACCAAAATCTTGCCACACAAACCCAATGCAACAATTCAGGTGCAGGGAACAGCAATTTAACTTTGACTGTGACTCCCCTGGACATCCTGGGGCACAAGAAGGACCCCAGCATGGGGATAGGTGCCACTCATTGACCACCTAAAATTCCTCTTCCTTATTTTCCCAAATCTCATGTTGCACTAAGATGCACCAATCTGCTGGTTTTTGCAGGAACGAGGTTTAATTTAATAAGGTGGTAATTCTCCCTGCAGGGGAGCAGGACCTGAGAGAAAAAAGGCTCTTTTCCCCTAAAAATAGGGATTCTCTCTCTTGTGTTAGAGCGCTGTCTCTCCACCCACACCCAGATCTGAAGGACCACAGGGTCATTGCTTACTGCAGCCCTGCAGCAGGCAGGACACCCAGCCAGTATTCCCAAGAGGCTTTCCAAGGAAACCAGCATCCTTGGAACTGGAATGCTGCATGTGTGGGAGGACAGCAGTGCCACCAGCCTATCCCAAGTCAAGGGGGCCAGGGAGGAGCTGGAAAACAGAGGAGCTGTGCTTCTCCCAGGGTTTGGGATGGCCCATTGCTCCCCCAACAAACCCCACTGCCCTCAAAGGGGCCGGGGGGCTCTCCCAAAGGCTCCCCATAAAGATGCACCTGTCCCCCAGGATGCCACACCTCAACAAATCAAGCCAGATGCTACAGGGAGCTCTCAGCCCTCAGGGGTGCTTTTTCTCCTAAGGACTCCTGACCCACAGTGCAACTGAAAATCAGATATTTTAAGCCACAGGCCTGCCCCCTTTTCTCCCTCTTGCTTTTACCAGGCCTCCAAGAAACCTGGTCGAACTCTAGGTAATTTTTTGATAGCCTGATGCCATTTGTAGAAACACGTAAGAGCAGAGAACTAAACCCAACCCATTTTCTCCCCAATGAGATCAGCTGGTCGCTTTTGATTTTCTCTAGAAACCTATCTCTTCAGGACCTTTATTTTTCCTTTTTCTTTATTTTTTTGAAGTCAAAGTCTGTTTCCCGTTTGGTAGGTGACCTGTTTAATGTTTTCCCTGTGTCTGGGAACTCCTTAGTGTAATTAGCGACCTTTGAACTCCACAACTAATCCTGAGCTATTTTGTATTCCTTACTCATCTTTAAGGCTGGACCTTTCTTTTCTTTTGAGTCCGCTGCCACAATTAAAGAAGAAACAGCTGCATTTCAAAGGGATTCCAATTCCAGAAGCTTAATCGTGATTGACATGTTCTTATTCTAAGCTATAAGAAACTCTAAGAGTCCTTTCTTGGGTTAAAACTTCAATCATTTTCTAAAAAATTATCTCAATATGGATTTTATTCATTTTCTTTGATAACCATTCTTTGTGATTTTTTTAACTTGAAAGATGCTTTGAGTTTGTGATGAATATGAACTGTGCCCACCGAAAGAATGAATGGTGTTGGGCTCGGGCTGGATGCAGAAGTGCCTAAATTCCATTTATTGTCAAAATCTGATTATGAAACCTGACGTCCTCCGTGTAGCTTGACATCATTCCACATGCCCCAAAGGAAGGAGAGGTGGAAGCTCTTGCAAATGAACCCTAGGAGGGAGGGAGATGGCATAAAGCATTCTCCAGAAATAGATATCTTTTTTAACAGTTTTCCCCAATTTTTATAGCACAGATTAAAAAGCCATTGCCTTCCAGTCCTGGAAGGGCCCCTCTTCACTCTTGGAGAAATGAATTCCCAATGAAAAGTCACAGCCAAAAGCAGCTGCCATAAACAGGGGTAATTCATGAGGTTTAAAATTATTGCCACAACCCCACAACAAACCCTGAGCGAGGCTGTGGCGCTTAAATCTCCTCCGAGGGCTGATCCTAGAAAATGATGGGAGCCTATTGGGTCCCGTTATTTAATTATTTCCCTCTCACTTACATTCAAATTCAGCATGACCTCCAAAAGATGGGCTTAGAAAGGAAAAAAAAAAAAAAGCAAAAAGCCTGAAAATCTGTTTGTGTGTTTGCCCAGATCCACCTGATCTTTGGCACACGGATTTGTGGGCATCACTGATGGTCTAAACCTGCCCAAAATGATCCCAAAGAGCCCCAGAATGGCAGCAGGCGAGAGCTGGTGTTCCTAAGACAAAGGTCAAATAAAAAAAGGATGTTAATAAACAGCCCTCCAGTTTAAAGGGACTTTTTTCCTTCTTTTTTTTTTTTTTTTTTTTTTTTTAAGGATTACATCTTAAATTCCAACAAATCAGATTTAGGAGTTACTGAAAGTGAAATTGATCCATCCCTCAGCCAAACTTTGCAATACTTTCCTGTTCTGACATCATTTAGATAGTTAGCTGCATTATCAGATTAAAAACCATTGTACAGGGCCGCTGAAAGGAAAAGGAGCCAAAAAGCTAAACACTGCCTGAATTCTGAACCTTTTAACCTGGCTGAAGTACGGTGGGGTCCCTGTTATGCAAATACCTTCAATCCTCTGCTAAGTTCAGTGGAAATAATTTTCTTGAATGACAGGTTTATTCAGCAAGGATTCAGTTGGCGATTAATCCCCCTTTGATCTAAGGTATTTCACTTAACTACCAGTTACCTCGTCCTGACAAAGTGCAACCGAGATTAGGGAGATCACCAGAACACGGCCGGGGTGTGCGTTTATTCTCCCCAGCCGTTCAAAGGGAAGGGCCAGGAATGCAATCTATTCCCACTATTTGAAGATAGAAAGTCCTGTCTCCCGAGTTAGAAAGTCAATTGAATACCAAGTGGGGCTCGGTCCTGTCCAAGCGGCAGCTCCTGACGCGAGATAGTCCCGTTCCTTGGGATATTTTTTGTTCTGACCCCGCTTTCAGCCAGGTTTTCACTCTTCCAGAGCTGCCTCGTTATTTCTGATCGGCGTGGGGCACTGTGGAAAAGACCTTTGCTTTTGGGAAAAGAGGATATTTCCCAATTTTGAGCTATTATTTCTTCATTTTTGCTAAAAAAACCCTTTTGCACTTCTCCAGCATGTATATATATTTATTCTTGTATAATAGATATAATAGATAAATGAACATTACATTTATAATAAATGCATATATTTTGAAAACTGATAATAGATCCAACCACCCAAATTACATCAGAACAATGAAGTTTTGCTGAGGGATGGATCAGCCTCATTTTCAGTTACTCCTAAACTTGATTTGTTAGAATTTAAGATGTAATCCTTAAAAAAAGCCCCAAAAAAACTCCTTTTTAACTGGAGGGCTATTTATTATCATCCCTTTTTTATTTGACCTTCGTCTTATTTGACCCTGCTGCCATTCCCAGGGCTCTTTGGGATCATTTTGGGACAGATTTATATGGCTGGACACATATTTATATCTCCAGCAGGCGTGGTGTGAAATTTTTGTGCCAAAACCTATTCATGAAGGAAAATACATCACTACAGATGACAGAATCATCCCCTAAAATAAAAAAAAAAAATCAGTCAACCACTCTG